TGGCAATTTTTGTCAGTTCACAACAAGGCCTTAATCAAGCTGAAATAGTAGTATGTACTATGTCAGGATTGGCATTATTTGATTCAGCAAAGAAAATTACACTTTAATGTGATGCATCTTAACATGGCCTAGGGTGTTTTTTTATTTCAGAATAGTAATGGAAATAAGCTTCAATTGTAGCATGCACTTCACATAGTCTCAATGAGAGTGAGTTAAATTATACAGCCAGAGTGATAAAGAGTTACTTGCAATTCAGTTTTGAACTAAGAAATTTTATAACTATATACAATGAGCTAATGTAGATGTACAAATAGACCATAAACCCCTAATACCTATCATGCAGAAGAATATATTCAAAATATGATCTTTGAGACTACAAAGACTAAGACTTATGCTGCTTAAGCATGATTTTAGTGTCTATTATGTACCTGGTAAATTCTTGTATTGTGCTGATTTACTGTAAAGGTCACACTTGAAGGAACAAGTAATGATCCAGAAATGTTGGAAATGATGCATTCTTTAAATAAACATATTTGTATGAGTAAAGTTTGACAGGAAGACAGAAACTGTAAGCAATCCAACTTTGCTATTTGTAAGTTTTATTTATATGGCTGGCCTGCTGTAGATAGATATAATTCCAATTCACTGTGTACCAAACAATAAGATGAAAGATAATCTGTATTGTGAAGCAGGCATGATGTTACTGAAGCAAAATAATTGTACCTAGATCATTTCAAATATATGTGCTAACACTGCTTCATAAAGGACATTTTGACTAAATTAAATCTGTAACTAAGGCTAATCAATTATTTTCTGCCTTCTTTATCACAAGATATTGAGTTGTATGTAAAATGTTGTAGAACATGTGAGAAACAAAAGTGTATCAATTTTAGGGAACTTGTAATGCCACACTGTACCAAAACTCAGGATTGAAAAGATAGGGGCAGTTATTCTTGATTATACGGGTAACCATACTTCATACTAGTTGGTTATTTTCCCCATTTGTTGAAAATTTGTCCAATACCAAGTATATGAGCTAAAGTTGTGACTGATGCTATGCAAAATGTATTTTCAACACATGGTAACCCTAAATATCTTATAGCTGACAATAACCTATTTAAGCTCAGAGAGTGTCATGATTATTTCAGGTCTAAGAATATTGCAGTACATACAGGCAGTCATGATTACCACAGGAGTCCTAGAATGCAGAGGAAGCTGTTGGAATTAGCTGCAAGATGCTGAAAAAGAGTCAAAGTGATATGGTTGTCTTTAGGGATCTATTGCAAGCATTCAGGAATATTCCATTATTAGGTGGCATTGGTGCCTCACCTGTGTAGATATCATATAGCCACAGGATCAGATCTGATTTGCCTACAATGAGCAAAGCTCTTGAGTCATAATTGAAGGTAATATTTGTGATACTCTTTATACTAAGCAATCTAATGTTTTTGAATTAATAATAATAATATTGGGAGAAAGGACAAATTATAAGTAAAGCGAAGGAACCGAGATCTTAGACATGCTGTATATAAGTGTAAAAATAAAATAACAGCTAATGTGAAGTCATATGTGACTAAAGCTGGAAGGAAAGTAAAACCTAAGATGCCTTGAAGGCTCTTCTGAAACATTTAGTATTTGAATAATGCTGAATTGGTAATATATTTTAGAACACACTAGATATTCTTATATACATGCATATTAATATACTTTCCATGGATCTATAAGTTGGTCAAAAAGTCATAAAAATACAAAACATACAGACAAATACAATTTAAAATATTTTACCTAAGATAACTGCATAACATAGCATTCTGTGTCTTGTTCTTTGCAGTAACACAGAACATTTTACTGATTAAATTTTAAATTGTTTTTGATAAAACTACTTCTCCCCCTTTTGCCATGTTTCGTCTACAGTATGTAGCTCCTAAAGTATAATTTTCACAAGTGACCTGCAAAATCTCTTTTGTTTTCATATGGTTTTTAGTTAAATTAAATAGAACTCTGCATAAAGTTTTGTGTTTGGCACCAGCCCTTATATTTTTTCCTCCAAATAAACAACATTTTACTATTACCACAAAAAATATTCCATGTTTCAATATAGAGTGAAAATTAGAAAACTAAATTGTTTTGAGAGTGACAGTGCTGCTGATATGAAGCATCAATCTAATTGCATAACAAGCTGTACATAATTTAAGATACATCTGAGAAAAACGATACCTCCAGTTCAAAAGGTTATCAATTTGTAAACCAAGTTATCTTAAATAACAGGAATGGGTCTTTCATTCTCAATGCGATAATAGTACTTATACAATTTGGCGCGACTTTTAATTTTAAATGCTAGTGAATAGAAGAAAATATGACGTCAGGCACAGTGCAGTAAAATCTTTCGTCCTCCATTTGGCGATACCTCGCTTTCTCCCACCATGCATGGTGTGTTATTAAGATAGTGTGTTAGAATAATGAAAATAGTAATAAATATTGGTTATACAAATTATTATTGTTATTGTTATTATTATCTTTTTAAAGTATAGACTTCCTTCTCTGAATGTTACAAAATTTTCTTGCTGAGGTTTTACAGTACAGATTAATAATTTATATTGGCAACATTGGACGCATACTGCATAGATGGGAGGGCTGGCGAAATTAGTGTATTTTGTAAAATTTTTGTGAATATCGGAAGAAGAACAATAATTTTTGTATGTAAGCGAGGAGTTTTATAATTGTTGAAGAATATTTTAGGTAAGCTTAAATTTAATGAAAGCCGTTGCTACGTACTTTCTCATTGTTTATGTGGGCAGATTACTACATGCTTTGTATACTAAACTAGAAGCCTGTTCGATTTTAACCTGTACTTGAATCGATTTGCTGTTTTTAAATTAGTATTGAAAGAGACAAGTGCACACCAATTTTTATCACGTTCGATGCGCACACTAAATGTATGACATGTTTTTGCGGAAAAGCAGGATATAACTTTTTCTATTTCTCAACAACCTGCTGGATGGTACTAGTAACCCGTGGTTGGCATGTAGAGGTTATGCAATGGAAGTGTATTGCTTTGTCCACAATAACGAGAAAAATTGATAACATAATTTGTGGTCTGTAGGTATATAAATGTTTCTAGGGATCTAAAACTAACCCGCTTACAATAAATGGGCTTTATACAAGCCTCATTCATATTTTTCGTGTGAGGTTAGGTCAGGTCGGATGAGATGAGGCCAGATCATTTCGGGTGATTGTCTGGCTTTCAGCTACATTTGCCACATTTTGTAGAAATATGATACTACATTGAAGTTAGACGTATTTTGTAGTGCTTGTAATTTACCAAAAATCATGACACTCTGCTGTAAAAATGTTAAATATCATACATAATTTTTAAACCCTTTATTTATACCAATTAGGTTTATAATGAATGAATAAATAATGCAGGGTTTTATTAATTTATTTTGAAAACCAATATCATACACGTGTTTCTAAGAAGTGATCTTGTTCCATCCTTACAGACTTCAGAGAAGGTGTAGAATCTCTTTCTGTATCAAGATGTTTCATATAGGATGGTTCGGTAATTTCAAATTAAGATTTTCAAGGCAGTATAAGAAGACCTCAATGGTATCCATTTCTTTGTGTGCCATTTAACCGAATAAGGTTACACAAGTTTGTGAAGTACTTAAAAATTAGATATGCCACATACAAACATACATATTTATTTTCAAATGCCATCGGAAGACGTGTTATGGGATGCACCATTTAGTCTGGTAGAAGTTTACTGATGTTTTAGAGGATGTACTGCCTCTGTAATCAGGGTGGAGGCAGCAAGTATCTGTTAAATGTTGGTAGACTTCTACCAGGCACAATATCCCAGAAGACAGTCATCTTCATACTGTCTGCTGCAAGAACCAGAAATCTCACTCCGAATAACTGGCAGCGGCTATGAAAGAAGACTTCCCTGTCACTCCCTTCGCTCAGCTAAACTCATCACAAACCTCTTGTCAGATTCTTCCTTCTTTCAGCCCTTTTACATTGCTGCATCCACTTTTTAGCATATGTATTTGCGCACAAACATGCCTTGTGGACAGCGTGCAGTTGAACATATATTCATATAAACAGAGCATTTATTTTGAGCTTGTCTATTTAGGTTATACTGTAACATCTCTCTACAGGTTTCATACATCTGCCTGCTGTCAGTATTATTTGGTGATTGCTCATTTCATCTTACTGAAGGAGGAGGGATCCAATTCCTACTCCAGTGGCACCTATGAAGATGGGATATAATTGCTTTTCTTCTGGGTGGTTCAGGCTGTCTTGGAAAACTTGTGTTTTATTTCCAAAATTTCACCTGCATGCACCCCTTTCATTCATATTTTCAGTAGCTGTTGCAAGAATGTCAAGTAGTATTTATTATGAATCTATGATGTAGTTTAGTGGGAATTGTAGTAACTGATTTTTATACATTCTGTGCATGAAGTTCATAAACAGATCCTATAATGCTGAGAACACTTTTGCCTGCCTATGCGTTTCACCAGAATCACTAATTGATCTTTGTTTTATGTGGGATTAAATAAATAGTTGTACTGTAAAGTAAATTTATTTTGATTCATGAAGTCCCAATTACACGTAACATATAATAAGTTTGGTGCAAGACATAAAACTTGTATATTTGTGAGGTTTTAGGTCCTCATGGTGATGAGCATGAAGATGGCTGCCTTCTGGGATGTTGCATCTTTTAGTCCGGTAGATATTGATTGACATTTCAGAGGTGCTTACTGCCTCCATCATTAGGGCTATCTACCCCATCTTTTACCAGGGCCTGTCACTCCAATGATAAAGTAAAAGTAAAAAAGTAAAGCTGTCCCACTATATGCCATGTAGGCGTTTGGGGGGAGTGGAAGTATAGCTCCTACTCATTCTTGACCTCGGCACTAGATGGGGGTGAGTGGTCAGCATCACGCCCTGGCCGGTACCCATTGTAGAGGAGGCTGGGTGGGCCCCAGAGTCACTCCAATGATGGAGGCAGTAAGTATCTCTGAAACACTGTCATTATATACCAGGCTACACAGCATAACATCCCAGGAGATAGCTATCATAATATGTCTTAAGACCTGTAACGTTTATATGAAACATTTTTTTGAATGATTTGTGTATTTAAAAAGTGTAAGCAAACAGCAATTTGTCTCCATTCACTGCATTATCAGCACTTTCATTCACTTTATTCAAGAATATAATTTATGAGCATGCCACTGGCATTGACAGCCTATCAGCAGTAAATGCGCATGTTTTTAAATGAATATACAATTCAGTAATGGATGCAAAATTACAGAAATATAACTTATTTGTACACCTTTACACTCTTGTTATGGAAGTGAGTACATTGAGATGATTAATAATTCTGAAGCTTATGATGAAAATGTGATGGGATGTGACGAGTTGTGTCCAGTTCCATACGTGTAGCAGTCTTTTATATCTGAATGTGTGTTACATGGTCTTCAGAGGACTTAGACAGTCTGAAAGCACATTTTTCTTATTTATACTGCGTACAGTTAAAATTAGAATAACACTTAAATTTTTGCATGTTTATTTAATGGTTTCTCACAGGAAACATTACTTCATATGTAAACCAGTTGTGTTCTTTAAAACTTTTAATCTTGTTAACTGCTGCATGGCATTGGTAGACGTGGTGACTAAACTGTTCTGAATTTATTTTTGTTTAATTGCAAAAAAGTGTTGTGTTATATTTGAAAATTATATCATGTTAATTGAAGTCTTATTTCATGGAAACAAAAAATTTAACATTTTGATATCAATGAATGTGTGTCCTGAGTCAACATTGTATTGAATTAATATCTGTTTCTGTATTCTTTCTGGAATGTGAGAGAATAGTTATTTCATTCTATATGTGCTCTGAATTTTACATATTTCTAGTATGATCATGAAACAAATTACTGTTTTTGAAGATGAGCATTTGTTAATCCTTGCATGCTTTTTTTCTTGCCTATGCCATTAACAAATCATCACAACCATTCAGCTGTGCAAGGATTTTAATATCTTTATGCCATTTGTTTTGTAGGCACCATGCAGTTGTTAGATGAAGTGTGACAGGATATGTCCATAACCCCATCATTCTACTGTCGAAAGAGCCCCAAGATTGCAGTTTTGTTTAGCTTGCTTGCCAGGCGTTCTGTCTATGATTTCAGAAATTTTATGGGTCCTTATCAGAATTACAACAGTCAGCTGCATGCATCTGTTTGTTTGATATTTCATGTTCAGACATTGATATAGATATTGCCTGATTTTCTTGAATCTTGTTTATTGGAGGACAACCCATCTTATACTTTTTATGCTGTTTAAAATGTAACATTTATAATAAATCCTACACTTTTAAAAAACTTTTAAAATACTTTTAAAATTAACACTGTAGATATAAAAGCTGTTGTGACTTACAAATAGACATAATCAGTGTACAATATCAGTTTTGTAGTTTAATTGGAATATGTCATCACCAGTTTCCAGTATGCAATTTAACAATTATGAGTTTATTGTGGTTATGTTGGTTTTCAGGAAAAGTGTTGTATCAGCTATTTCATACTTCACTCTCACTCTTTTAGCTCAAATGTCAGCAAATTGAAATGTTACAGGAGCAGGATATAAGCATTTTGGTTAAAAGTTTCCAGATGCATCTCTGTTCCCTAACTACTTTTATTGCTGGTTTAGTTCTTTAGTTTAAGAATAGAAGTGTTTTTTTATTTATGCTGCTTAATTATGGGAGATCTGACATTTTCTTTCTTTGTTTTACAGAGAATTGAAGAAAACTAGTTTTATTTGTTATACAAATTCAAGAGGAGACGAGGATCTAAACTCTTCTAGCCTTCGGTCCTTGTCTGGTAGGTAGTAATGTGCAGAAAATACATCTACTTTTGCATTTTCTGACTTGCTTTAAACATTTTGATTAATTTTGTTAGTCCCAGTATGTATTATATAATGAGTCGTCTGTTTTCAGTTTTTTTTGCATATGTGATTGCATTATTTGTGTTGTATCACAAGTTGTGAAATTGTCATTAGATTCTAATAAAATCATGTCATTGAAATATGAATTGAGGCTGTTTTATGAATTGTGGTGAACTCTCTTTTAGAAAGATTAAATTATCTTTAATTTGAGTTGCATCAGGTATTTACCAGAGTAAACAAGTTTACCATGAGTAGCTCAGACTATACACAGAGCATCACAGAAAGATGTATGCACATTATAATATGGAATATCAATTAATCACTACTGTCAGCTGTGCCATGAAGTTAACAGTAGTAATTTTGAACTACATTAGATTAATTAATTCACTGAATGCAAATGCTGATGTACATAATGGTTGAATTTATTAAAATGTCTTTATTTCATTCATTGAATGTGTGTATACATCTTTTTGGGACAACCTGTAGTATGGATTCATGTTTTTAGGTGGAATGGTTTATTGGTCATCACTATCAAACAGTGCTAAATATATATTTTGTGTGGATGTTTTTTATAACCTTTAAGATACGATACTACCCAAAGTTTCAGGAACCTGGTTAATGTGGTAATGGTGTTATTTTCACAGTTTCATATGGCAGCAGTATTTCTATAGGAAAAAGAGTATAATTCTGTTCAGCAGCCTTACATTGTTGACACATACAACATTTGCGGGTAGCATTGACAGAATATTAACCAGTGGGAAGCAATGTTCTGATTTTAGTCGTAATATATTTATATAAATTTGCAAGTTTCATAAAGCTAGTTTATGTCTGTCTGTCTCCCTCTTTGTTGGGGGGGAGGGGGGAGACCAACCAGCTACACAAAATCTATATCTACCTGTCTGTTTGGTGGTTGCTGATGAACCATTCATTGCAACTAATCTTGTGAGATTTGGTTTGATTGTAGAGTGTAAAATATGACTGCATTTTTTAATATTTTCTTTGTCTTAGAATTGCAAATGTAATGATTTTGCAGGACTTATTATTTATATCACTAAATTGTTATTATTTTCTTAAACAGCATTAACCTGTTGATTTTTGTAATGACGAAGTGTTGTGTTTTCTTTGTGGTACGTCTGAATTTTTTAATATTAATTAGACGGGCTTCAGCTTCAAGGGGTTAAGGGCTTTGAAGTAATTAATATAAACATTTTATTATTTGAGTCCGGGGTCCGCAGTGGCCGTGCGGTCTGAGGCGTGGGTCTTGTGCCACTTGGTCGCGGGGACCGTGGGTTCGAATCCCACTCATGCCATGGATGTTTTTCTGTGTTGTGCTGTCCTGTAAATAGGTAGAAGCCTAGCGATGGGCAGATCCCTCGTCCAAGGAGTCCTACCGAATGTCTATAGATCAAGCCAACTAAAAAGTTGGGGACCCATAAAGGGTACCGGAAAATGTAGAAAACATTGTCAAACCGGAAAAAGAAGAAGATTATCTGAGTCCTTAAGTTGTAACTTATTTAACTTATATGAAAACCAAAGTTTGAATTCATATTCCTGCTAACCTCATTTTAGCTTTTGTTTTTCTCTGCTTATAAATTATTTACCTGGTTATGTATAGTATGCAACTTTAGAAGCTGCCCTCCTTTTGAATGCCTGCTTTCTCCTTATTCATTCACCTATTCAGAAGTTTAATATATGTCATATTCACTGTTTTTCAGGTGCTAATTTTATTAATCATGTCAGCCTTAGAAGGTCCTAGCTCCAGATAGATGGTCATCAGTTATTACTGGTAAGACACTGAAGTTTTTATGGAATTGAAATGACCTTTTATTGAATTGTATACACTATTTTTCTATTAAAAATGGTAACATTAAGTATTTTTTTGACTCAGATGTAATGTATGGTCTTCTTTGTGGACTCCAAATTCTGCCTATGCAATTCTCCTCCGGCAATAATCTCAGGGCTTCCATTGGATACTTCCAGGACATGGTGACAGTCTTCACCTGTAAGTCTCATTTTTTGCAATTATTCTTGATATTCAAAGTTTGCTTATGTAAACCATGATTTGTCATTCTTCATTTCTGTTCTATTGTGAAAATGTAAGTAATGTGAAGGAACCGTAATGGATCTCTTTAGTGGAAACTAAGAAAATGATGAGACATTGTAGATTACAGTTATTCATAGCAACGGGGCATTTGATAAAGTAAACAAACTTTTGAACGCATATTCTAATGCTATGTGAACCATAGTGTATGTATACAGCCACACAAAGATAAAAAGTAGTTTGGTTGTTAACATTTCATTTCATGCTGCTGAAATTATACTATAATTATGACAATAAATCACCACTGCTCAACGGAAAAAAGTTTACAATTAGTATATACAATATTATCTATTTACTCATTTAAGTAATAGATGATATGCTACTTTCGCAGATATACTTTTGAATAATAGGCATTGCCCCACTTTTAATACATAATGTCATGTCTAGAGATTTTAGGTGGTATAAGAATTTACTTAATCATATCTGTTGCCAACATTACTGTTACATATCTGAAAAAGAGACACATTAGAAGAGGGTAGGTTGATGAAGACTATCTTATGCATTAAATGGAGCGAGATTTTGAGTATACTTTTCAATATTATAACCAGAATTGAAACTCATATTCTTTTATATTTCATATATGATTTCTATTTTTCATTTTTTTTCTCTCTTTTGAACAAGGTTCTTTTTACTGCCATTTGGGGCATTGATAAAAGTGACATGTTATGTGCCAGCAAAATTAACTATTGACAAATATAGGAGTTTGACTTTCATTTGGTAATGATCGGGTGACTAAATTGTGTTTCCCATAAAGTATAATTAAATTTCTGGCAGGGCAGAATTTTTCTGTCTAAATCAGCTCTGGGTCCCACCCTGCATCCTACTCAATGGGTACAAGGGTTCTTTTCTGGGGATAAGGTAGGTGGGGGGGATTGAAACAACTGCTCATCTCCATCTAGCACCAAAGTTAAGAATGTGTTACCTATTCTTCCACTCTCCCGCTCTCCCATATATCTATATGGCATTATGCTTAATTAAGCACCAGGAACAGTTTCAACATTCACCTTATATTCTTCTGAAAAAGATCAATGATATTGACAGGTGATTATGTTTCTGTTCTGTTTAAATTAACTGGTGAAAGCTTGCTAACCATTCTGTAATTGCTTTGTGTGATTGGCATTAGTGTAATATTGTATTGATGGCTTAATTGATACACCTCGTACATTGTTCCAAATTTTATATCATTTTGAGTCTTTTCTTTTTTATCCTTGTAGGTGCTTCAGCCCCTTGTAACATCTTGTTTCTTAATGTTGCATAAATGGTTTTGCTAGGGTTACGGTAATTGAACTCCCAGCTCTTTGGAGCTGCTGCATTTTGTCTAAGATCTTGAAGCTTTTGTGGTGATTGAATGCAGCAATGAAGTCTTCTTCAGCGATCAGTCATATAAATACGGAGTTTGTCACATGTTCTGAATACTGACTGTACCTGCAACATTAGATTACAGAATGCTTTAACTGAGAAATTACTGCAAGTCTAATACTTTGTCTATCATATTTTGTTTAAAGTATAAAATATTAAAACTGCAGTGTTTCAGAAACTGGATTCTTCTTCTTTCTACTGGTTAATACAGGGGAAAGAGGTCAGAAAGTCTTCTTGTTGGGCCTCCTGGTTTTGCTAGTCCCAGACCTGGGGATGTGCGAGCAGAATGAGAAAAAATAGGAGGAAATAAAGGAGTATTTAGTAATCACTTTGCCTCAAAGATGGAGACAAAGGATCTCACAAACATTGACGATACAGCCTACTTATACACAGTGACATTATCCAGAAATAGGATCCACTGAAGATTTTTGAAGGCCTGAAGTCTTCTACAATTACAAATGTATTAGCACGGAAGGCAAGTTGATTACGAGGATAGTCTTCTCAGTTCTTAAGCATAAACAATTAAATGGAGGACTCTCAGTGCAGTTTGTTCTAGGCATACAAAGGCATAATCGGAAGTACGAGTAAAGTATCATAAATGTGTTTTGTATGACATTGATACCTCAATCAAAGCCTCGGACAGACAGACCTAACAGAGGACCGAATGGAAGAGGTGAATTGAGCTGGCCATGGACCGAATACGGACCGGAGAGCCATAGAAGAAGAAGAAGAAGAAGAAGATGACATTGATTGTCTGTACAATACCTTGTGACTTATTACTTGAATATATTGGTTGCATAACAGGTTGAGAAACATGACCACGTGTAATCGTCTGGCTACTTGTACTACAGGAGAAGACATTTTCAAGCTCATATGTCAGAATGTGTTGCTGCATTGAAAGACTTTTTGACTGAACATGAGCTGCAGATTAGTTCAGACATAATAGATCATTAAGAGACAAGTTATAGCACAAGACCGAGAAGATTTTTGGTGGTTTTGTCAACCATTTACACTCTTCCAGAGAAGAGATTAAAACAAAACGTAGTGAGCAATTGAGATTTCAGCAGATGCGTCTTAAAGGATGAATATATAAATGGTAATTTTGGGTTGGGGTTGCTGGTTGTAAGCATACATCCACTTGCATTAGTATATCTGTATGAACCAGTATTCTCAAGATATGCAGCAACAAAAGCAAAATTACTTGCTGCAATAGGCTTAATATAGAACATGATATGAGAATACAGATTTTTAAGATTGTATCTACTTTAGAGCCATGTGGGCAGCAAGCAAACCCACCAATTGCATTGAAGAAGCCACACATAAATGTTTCCTGAAATCTGATTTTGATTTGTTTGAACTGTTTATGTCCTTTGCATCTTATAATTTGGAAACAGCTGTTTTAATTTAAAAATGTTGGGTTTGAGGATTCTTTTTTGAAAATATTTTATTTCTGGAAGGTTTATTAGGAGTAAAAAGATTGAGAACCAATGGTCTAGAGGATTATATAATACAGACATTTCATGTTTGTTTTGTAATTTTGTAAATTATTTCAGAGTTGACAATTAAACAGTTTACATACCTTTTAGATGAACCAGGTACGACTGGTAAGGGAATAATTCCTGCATTTAAATAATGATAATTTAAAAAAGAATACACAGTTTGTCATAAAATCGGGGAAGAGAAAGTACTGCATGGAATATAAGCATGAAAATGTGAAAGTCAAAAGTATGTGAACTTTTGCCCATGTTAGCTTATCGGTTACCTTAGTGGATTTTACTGCCTGCTGTCTTCAAAGTCGCTTCCTTTTGTTGTATCTCACATTTCTGCTAGCTGTCAATCTACTAAAAACTTTCCTGCAGTCCTTTCTCTACAACTTTTTTAATTTCTTCTGTTGGCTTGAACGTGCGTCCCATCTAGTGGATTTTTATTCCTAGGGACAGTTGCCTTTACCAAAAGAGACTGATGAGTTGGTACATGTATTGTTAAAAGAGAGCACCAGATTCCCAAAGATGTTGAAGAGCTTCTTGCATACAGCACAGAATATCACTGTTTGTGGTCTTACCTACATTACACATTTTTTAAGTGAGTATGGGCAGGACAGTTGCCGCCTGAAATGCCAAAGCCACACTGTACACTGTAGCCTGACCCATAACTTTGTCCCATAGGCTTTCCTGATGTAAATTTGTCAGAATGTCTTTGTCTCACTTTTACACAATATGGCACTTTCCCATTTCCCTTATTATTCTGAGTTTGCTTTGGTTTGAAAATATTGATTTGAATGTACGTAGGGCAGTCAAAAAGTTCCCAGAATTGTGGTATAGCACTGTAATGGTAGGACATATGGCAACACTTAACCTAATTGTCTTCAAAGTAGGACCCTTGCGCACACACAGACTTGCTCCATCAATCCTGCCATTGTTGGAAGCACCGGCGGAAGGCTTCGTTTGGAACCTTCCGGAGTTCGGCCGTCGCATTCGACACATCGCTGCTTGTGCAGCAATTGCTCGCCGAGAAAAGCATTCCCGTCATCACCCAACCACCATACTCTCCAGATCTTGCTCCGAGTGACTTCTGGCTGCTCCATACTCTGAAAATGGGCCTCAAGGGGACGAGTTTCCCAACCATGGAGGACATCAAATCGAACTCCGGAAGATTCCAAACGAAGCCTTCCGCCGGTGCTTCCAACAATGGCAGGATCGATGAAGCAAGTGTGTGTGTGCACAAGGATCCTACTTTGAAGGTGATTAGGTAAGCATTGCCTTATATCCTACCATTACAGTGCTATACCACAATTACGGGAACTTTTTGACTGCCCCTCGTATATTACCATGAGTTAACTTGTGTCAACTAGAATTTTCTGAATTTAAATCTTGATTTCTTCCATTCTTAGTAATAATTTGACCTTTTATCGCTAGACAGAACCAGAGTTTGGTAGTTCACTTACTGATACTACTACTAATAGATCCCTTATACTTCTTTGTTATTGTAGGTATTGGCGCTAAAATCTTTATACTGTCATTTTGCAATGTTTTGTAAGTGTATCCGTGGCACTGGAAATGACATCCAGTTGTGTCGATGGTTATGGTTACAGACGATTCTTGTGGTGGTGGTTATCATTGATCTGAAAAGGGCAGTTAACATTTACTGCTCTTGTGTGTGTCTCTAATTTTGTCTGTTACATGGGTCACAACACCACATCTAAAATGTTATGTTACACATATCAGTGTTAATACTGTTTTGTGTTTGACAGGTATTCACCATCATATAATTCAAATTTATTGTGTAAGATTTGAGGTTTTCACAGTGGTGAGTATGAAGATTTCTGTCTTCTGGGTTGTTGCGCTGTGTAGTCTGGTCGATGTTAACCAGCATTTCAGAGGTCATACTGCCTCCGATGAATCGCCCTGATGACGGAGGCAGATGACCTCTGAAACGTTGGTTAACGTCGACCAGACTACACAGCGCAACAACCCAGAAGACAGAAGTCTTCATTCATATTTATTATTGTATAATTATTTTCATACCAAAAATGCATACTACAC